CCCCCCCCCCCCCCCCGGCAACAATAAAATAAAAGCAAGAACCGAAGAAGCTCCCCCTTCCTGGCCTCCTGTGCAAGGGACGAAGGGCCAGAAGCCTGGTTCAAGGTGTTTCAGGCTTGCCGCTCTTCCTGTGGTCACGCTCATATTGGGGGCCTTATCACAATTAGAATAGGGTTCTGGGGGTATAAGTATATTCTATAAGCATAATAAGGAACCCCCCCCAAAAAAAATAATGGTATTAGTGATTGGTTAGACCCCTCTAATATTAGTTGCTGCCTGCTGTTTCCACTGCATTGGGGCTTTTTTTGCATGAGAGTTTCGAGGTTCTAGGATTTAGGGCTCAGCGCTCCAGGGCTTAGAATGTCGCGGTCTAGGATGTTGGGGCTTGTAGGGCTCAGGGTTCAGGGGCTTGGGGCGTTGGAGTTTATGACAGCCAAACAGATCAGGTTTCGGGTGTTGGGGTTCAGGGATGAGTTACGTGAACTGTGGTGAGGCTTGGAGGTTCCGAGGAGTTGAATCAGGCTTTGCTGACGTCGAAGGTTAAAACCCGTTCGGCCGGAAGCGTATCAAGCTATGGCGGCGGGAGTTCCAGGGGGGGGGGGGTATGACAGAATAAGATAGCGGCCTCGATAATTAGAATAGGGCTTGTCTGTTTATTATAGTGGAACTATAACAAGGCCAAAGGATGACCGTAGCAACTACACAAGCTCCCCTGGGGTCATTAGTTGAGGGGTTGAGTCTTCAGGGTTTGGGGGGCTGAGGCCACAAAACCCCGCTCCCCCAATCCAAGCAGCCGACAACCGGAAGCATTTAAGGCCTCAGGGGCCAGGGCCTTCCTACAGGCAGCGCGAAGTTAAGTCCATGGCCTGGCATTATGAGAAAAGCTCTGACCAAAGAGGTTTTACAAAACCAAAACTGACACCCTCAAACGAAGCCTCGAACTCAAGCTGAACGCTGAACACCCTGTCCAAAACGTATACACCCTGAGTTATATAGGCTCTGCAGGCATCACAAGCTCCACCTCCTGGGCGAGCGAAGACGGAGGCGACACTTCTCCATGTGACGCCTGCAGAGGAGGATTACATTCGGGGCAGCCACAGAAGTAAACGCTTGACTTCCCACAGGAAAACTCCTGACTTCCTTTGTGTGCCGGAGCCTGAGAGGAGCTACGGCTGATCGTAAGGGTTAAGCCCAACGGAGCGCCCTCAGAAATCAGATTTGCAAGGGGGCTGAAACAGTAGAAACCTTCTGCACCACTCTACGAACAAATGTGCAAGCAGAAGCTTCGGCGACTCCTCCAATTCTCTGGCCAACTGAAAGCTTTGGGACTGTTGGGCTTTGGGCGTCAGGGCTTTCGGGCTCATCCTGGAAACCGCACCAGTTGCATGGACTGTTGCTGGATGCTATTTCCCCGGGCCCTATGTTCTGTATGAGTGTGAGTATACGTACAAACAAACCAACAAACAAGCAAGCAAGCAAGCAAGCAAGCAAGCAAACAAGCAAGCAAACATACATGCATGCCATGCATGCATGCATACGTACATACGTAC